CCATGTTTTCTAGGTGTTAGTTTTGACTTTGTAAAAACGTCAGGGTCAAGTGTCGCGCCTGCACGCGCTGGTTTTTGCGCTTAAATTAGGTCAACAATCAAGCCGGCAAATCGTAAATAGGACAATAAAGATACGTAATTGCGTAACAGCTCAGTCGTGTCTCGAACAGTTATTGCAACAAAAAAAGGCCCGTACGAGTCGAAATAATTCATGTGCCATGCCTGTTTGACCCGATATATCTTGAACCCAAGTCTGGGCCCGGCATTCAGATATAATGTCCGTTTCGGAAACGTTTACAGGTATAATCATCCTCCGGAGTCAATCGGGCCAGAGGAAATCCTGTGCATGGCAACCCCTCCATCAACCCTTACGCTCCATAAATTAAACAACGGGCCACTCGGGACGAAAAGTTCGACTTTCATCATCCACGCGAGGATGTAGATTATTAAAAACTTTATTGACGATCGAAGAAGTTGAAATTTTAAATTGGCGAATCTTCCTCACATGTGCGAGTTGATGACCTTGTAATTTGACCTTTTCCGATCATTCTGATTATGTTTATTCTCGTCGGTCTAGGGTTCTCAGTCGCGCCATTAGAAGCGAAGCTAGACGGACCCAATTTGATCAATAAACTAATTGCACCTTCTTAAAATGGAATGTGGGGTTTTTAACCTATCGGGACATTTTCTTTTGGGGTCTCCGGGGTCATAAACCTACTGTTTGATAGTTACCTAACATCTTGGTCTGCACATTTTCGCTGATTTTTGTTGATCCTTTTGTAGTTTTGTCGATGTGTCCAACTTACTTATGATTATGATGGCGGTACATTTGTTTACTCATTTAACGAGTTGGTCTTTTCTTTGGTTGGTGTTTTAGTTTTTGAATGACTAATGACGTCTCTTCATGGCTAGTTTTGAGTGTCTGTAATAGTTTCTATCATGGCGGCGGCTAGGTGTCTTGTTTGTTCTTGATGTTCTGGTTTGCTTTTCCAACGTCTTTTATTGTCTGAGTAAGATTTTTTTCTGTGTTCGTTAATTTGATGTTGTGCTCTTAATTTGTCTTTCTGCCGTAATTCTAATCGTGTTTGTTGAATGTGGTGTTTTTTTAAGTTCACGAGTGTGTTTTGTGTTATTCAGTGTATGGTCGGTTTTTGTCGATTTTGTGTTTGAATTTTTTTCTTTTTCAGTTTTTCGTATTTTGTATTTTAGTTTTTACATTTTTCTGTTTATCTTGTAGAAATTGGGCCATTGTTTTTGATGATAGTGTGTTACGTAATTGAAAGTTCCTTAGCATAGTTTTGAGTTAGTATAAGTTTATTTTGTCTTTAACATAAAGAGTCCTAATTTCTGTTTAATACATATTTTGTGATTGTTTTGTTGCGGTTTGTGCTGTTTTCGTCTTTGAGTTAATTCGTGCGTATTTTTGAACCATGCGTATTTTAGTGTTCGTTTTATAAAACTTGTCTGCTTTTTGAATATTCCTTGTTTTTTAAATTCGCCTAGATAGCTATGTTAAATTGTTAGATTTCCTCTTGTGGTCTGCGAGGTGATTGAACGTATTGTTCGATAGTTACCTATCATCTTGGTCTGCCCGTCATCCTCAGACCAAGATGACCAAGATGGTTAACCTATTGTTGATCATTTTCCAATCTACTCAATTATACTTTTGTCTATTAGATTTCGAGAAATAATGTTTCGATGCCTGTATCACTATTTTTTAACTATCATAATCATTAAAGAATGTTGAAACGCTTTTAACTGACGAAAACATCTAGACGAGGTAAACCAGGATGGTCTGAAAGGAACAATCGAAGTTTAACCTCAATCTTATTTGTCTTCATTTTCATAAAATTGATATGGCACAAGAATTTCGGTAGCAGTTTTTTAATATTATTAATTTCACTATTTTTCGTGGTCCTCTTGACCAATTAATAACATTCAATTAATTAAGGTTTTAAGTCGAGATAAAAAAGTCGGTGTCAAGAGCGGGATTCGAACCCATGACCTTCGGATTGATACGCCGCTACGCTATCACTTGAGCTATCGTGACTTCGATCCCCTTGGGCACTAACTTCCCATCTCAACCCCACCTTTTGAATTTTCCCTCCTTTTTGCAATTTTTCAAATGTAATCGGATTGGATTCTCGGCGACAAATGAAATGGCCACGGAGAGCTTTAGTCATTAAGCTTTCATTTTAATTCAAAAAAGGCGATAGCTCAAGTGGTAGAGTAGCGGCGTATCAAGACAAAAAGGTCGTGGGTTCGAATCCCGCTCGTGACACTGACTTTTTAACTCGACTTAAAACCTTAATTAATTGAATGTATTCTTAATTTTGTTTATACAGTATATATAGTTTATCGATTTGAATTATACCAACCGAACAATAATCATTCTGAAAATTTTTCCAGTAAATCTATACAACTATATATGTTAAAAATAGTTTATTAACCACGTAGTCGAATCTATAAAGTTTCATATAGATTATTGAGCGAATATAATTATTAAACGTTAAATTGAACGGGGAAAATCGTCAATAAAATATTCATACGGGCGCGCACGGGGCGCAATGCCCACCCCCGGTATCGAAGGATTAGCTTTACGGCCCATTTTATAATTAATTAACAGTATCCCTTAAAACCTCTAAATTGGATTTTTAGGGCCGTTTTAATATGTACGCCTCCCCCGGGGTTTTCGCACCCCAGGGTAAACTCTAAACATTAAGGGCGGTACCTTTTATACCTGGCCGTTCGGTACCGTCTAATATTAATAAAAATTAAATTCACGATGGCTTTTTTTGTTCATAATAATAGAAATATAGAGACAGTGAAGACCTCGGTTCGTAAAAGTAAAATTCAACCTTTTACTAACAAAGCCGGCTTTTGGCCGATTTCCTCAGGAATTTCACTCCTGCCCTTCGAAGAATCGTGGACACACCCCTAATGCCTTTTCGATTGCCATCACAATAAATGCCCCTTAAAAAACCCCTTATCTCCCTCTAAGTCCTCCGACCTTAAGGTATTTTTAAGTTGAATGTAAGTGGCTGTAGACAACTTTTATCAATCCTCCACTCTCATGAAATTTGTTACTTTTCTACCCAATCTGGGCCCGTCAGACTTATATTATAACATAAACAACTATTGAAAAAATTAATCCTATCATCAATTAATTAAATCTGTTCGGTTTGCCTCGAGAGCAATGCGTTCAGTTTAGACTATTTCTACCCACAAAACCGTCGCTAAATATTGACTGAAATGGACAGTTGGAGATGGAATTCTGAAATTCGGTTTGTGTACCGATCGGTTTTGAGGGTTGAAGTGGGAAATATAATCGGCCCATAACCAAACTCGATCCCTCCATCAACACCTCAACATTATTTCGTTACATCCCTTTGGCGTCTGCCTTTTTAATTATTCAACAATCACGGCTGAAAAAAATTATAATGGTAGTAATAGACACAAAATAACTTTATATCAAATAAATGATTCGCATAAACTTCTCGGATATCAAACAGTGAGACAAAAGAATTGATATCAATTGCTGGAAATAAAAGTATTATTTCTAAACCAACAACTTATACATTTATTAAAAATTGTTTAATTTTACTATAAAAACACAGATATTGCAATATAACTGGATAGCTTTTTGTTTTTAACTTTTTGAAGAGGTCTTTAATGTAAAATCTCATCCTATTGCCATGTACAGCTTCATACTTACCAATATTTTCAATTATTCGTGGAATTTACTTCCCAGTGGTGGTTATTCAGGTACACCTTGTAAAAATACAACCTCGCCCTAATAAAAACAAGTATTTTTTCGACAAAATAAACATGTGCCACAGGAAAAAACAACTCTCAATTTTATATTGCCACTTCCTCTCATGTAGAACCAACAGGTGTTAAAACACGTTGTAAAAGGTAGAATAAGTGGAACGAAATTTACAATTTTATTTAAAACATAGAGATAAAACCAATTGGATATGAAAAACCATCTTCGGTGAGCTTTTGTAAAATAAATTACCTTCGTCAAGACTATTAAATTATTATTAATGATTTACAGGGTTCACAAATATCGACATTTATTTATATGATTTAATATTGCGCTTTCATGCATAATTCCAGCTTAGGTAATGGCCCCACACTACATATTCACGCTGATAAACACATTCTCTCTCAACATTCACTAGGTTACACAACAATATCACTACTTTATACAATAAAACAAACCTGATTCCTCCAAGAAACTCGCTGCCGTACTCAAGCACAATTCTCATATCGGGTGACATTCCTACGCGCTCTGTATAAATGGCCAAGGAATTGCACCTTTCGAAGTTAGTCTCAAAGTGCTGTTGTCAGCAAGGTGATTTCAACCCCCACTCATGCACTTTTAACCTAAACAACTCCATCACTCATTCTTAAATACGCTTCCTCTTATTTACACACCTTTCACATAAGTTAGTTGATAGTCCATCATCATTTATCACATGTAAACAACTATACTTACCGATTGAGAATCGATGGGGTACTTGATATAACACTTGTACTTCATACATTCACGCATATAAATACATTTCACCTAGCAGTTAAAACATCTATGTAACAACAATAAAAGGATTACCTGCAATAAACAAAATATCTCTCTTTATGTATACACATACAGAATTACACAAGTTTCCTCCAGTATATCGATCGGCATTCCTACGCGCTCCATATATAGAGCCAAGGAATGACGCCTTCAGTTATGTGGGACATGTCGAGCAACCATGCTCAACCTGACAAATATATAGGCGGGTTTTGGCCCAAAAGTAAGTGTCCGTGGGCCGACCCTTCTTAAACTGGTGATGACGACTTTCAATAGGTCAGATCCGAGGGCCGCCTATCGACACTACTTTTGATACGTAACAGCACCTCTTCTGGTCCAGATCACCGGCGCTGCCTCATTCTTTAATCATGTTTTTCTTATTGAATTTTTATCGTTATTAACTTTTAATTAACTTTTTCCAGCTTCGGATCTCGATTCGATCAGAGCGCTTTTCAATGAAAAGGAAAAGGAGCTCACCGTGGCCGTTGCCAAAGTGGAAGAGCTGACGAGGCAGCTGGAAGATGTGCGAAGGGGGAAGCAGGCCCAGCCACCGAGTAATCCCGTCACACAAGAACTCGACAGGCTCCGACGAGAACTTATGGTAAGACGTTTATGAGAATGAACTCACATTTTAATATCTTATAATAACACGCAAAGAACATTATTGTAACAATGTTATTTGTTATGGTGTAGTACCGTAACAAGCTGAACGAGCAGCAGACGGCGAGATTGAGCGAACAGAGGGAGGTGCTTTGCCAAAGGCAGCTTGAAATGGCCAGTATAGACAAAAGGATAGCGGAACTTCAGGAGAGGCTCCACAGAAAGAGGGTGCTCAATCAGCAGCTAGCCAACCAAATAACAGCAGCCAGCAACAAAGCCAATGTTAACCAACATCAAAACAGGTAAACATAAAAAATAATATAACCAACCATACTTAATCTAATTTTCTTGTCCGTTGTTACAGAGGAGTTGAAGTAATGGGAATTCAGCAACAGAATATGTTTCATTTAGGTAATAACAACAGCAAGCAAATGTTGAGGTCTATGCCTAGCGGGAACATAGCGGCCGTTGAGCCTTACCATCACGTTCCAACTTATCCATCTCAGAATTTGGATGATAATTACATGAAACAGAACGAAGTAAGTTACTTCTTGTAATTTAAGCGTTTTATATTCTTATTGCTTTGTGTTTTTCACAGATTAACAAAGTAGATAAAAATACAAGGTACAACACTGGGAATCAAGAGGAGATCATGGGTCCGAGGAAACAGAATTTGACCGCTCCAGCGACCCACCATTACATCCAAGAGACGAAGAAAGACGATAAACAGCAGCACGTGCAAGATAACGAGGTGTCGTCTTTTGGAGCGAGCAAGTCGGACCCCAAGTACCAAACGTTACCATACAACACCAAATTCACCGGCAACATCCCCTCGAGTGCGATGCAGCTCCAGCAACAGCAGAAATTGTTGAACAAAAGGGTATCTGCCGAAGGGAACGAAAATTGCACGGATAACATCGAAAGCGCCAAGACGAACATGAACAACAACAACCTCAACCTCATTATTAACAACAACATGCTCCAACAGCAAATAGTTCATAGCATACCGATACAGTCGAGCGCCAACAAAGGTCTCGCGATGGTCTTGGCGAACCAAAAACAATCGTCTTCACCGACTTCATCCACTAGTTCCTATTCTTCTACGTCTCAGTTCGGACAAAGGTACTTCGTACCATGTGGAGAAATATTCTATTTTTTTTATTGTTTTTTTTTTATCGGTTTATAGGGTGTACAGTAATAATTTGCTAAATTCGACGTTAATCGCGAGAGGACAACCAGTTGGAGGAACGTCTTCGACGACTTCTTCGACTTCGTCGTTGGCAACGAGCAGCAGCAACAGTTCTGTCCACCAGGTATTGGCGTTTATAACTTTTCTATTTTCTTTACATACATTATTGCTACATTGTGAGTGTATTTCAAGGTGTCGTCGACTTTGGCGAGCGGATTGCCAAGCCAAACGGGCATAACGTCGCGCCTTGCATTACCCCCGACACCTCTCATTTCCGACACCCAGGTGAGCCGTCGTTCTATCTGAAGCATATCACCTTTTAAATTTTCTTTAAGACATTGTGGTATTTCAGTTGCCTGTAGTAAGTCATTTCCAAAAACCTGTAAATACCGTCTCCCCAACGTCGATGCAGCACGTCTCCAATATATATCAAACGTCCTCGACCAAAATATTACCTGTACAGCCGCAGATCGTTAATAGTTCGCAACAAAACCCCCAGGTAAAACTCGAGAAAACAATTTTTTTAAATTATACGCGTTTGTTATGGAATCGGTGGTTTCATCGGTGATCGATGCAAGAAAATTCTCGCCGCTGGGGTTTGTAGGGGTCAATACATTCGTCTTTCCAAAGAACTCATGTTCTTTTTAAAACACTAATTCTCTTTTTTAAAGAACAGAATTTTAGTACTGCTTCTACAAGTTTTCTAAAATTAAATGGTTTCCCGCGGCAATTATGTATTTATAATTTACTATACGACACCGAACCAACAATATTTAATTGTTTTTGTTGGTTTTGAAGTGAATTTATGTGCTTATATTATGTCCGATTTTCATGTTTTTATACGAATTCAGGTCGTTTTAAAAGAAGAAACGGAAACGAGTAAACCCGCTCTGCCACCCAAGCCGGCGATGCCTGTAAAACCTACACCGCCGCCGCCACCCAGGCAGTCTCAAAATTCCGTCGAAGTCACGACCGGCGAAGTCCCCGAAACGGGTCTCACAGTTCTAGCCAACAGCCAGCAGCTCAGGTAAGTCGAAAATGAAACCACCCAGGAGAATGGAAATCAGTTGATGATGATGTTTTTAGCAAATACGACGAGCCTCCGCCTCTTCCAACGACGGACCCGCCTCCAGAAGACGCTACGTCGAAAAAGCTTCAGGAAAACATAATCAAAGCGAGACCGTTAACACTTAAAAAACAGCCCGTTTCCGATCTGCCCAAACTCAAGGCTCATCGAGACGAAGAATCGGAAGAAAAACGGTAAATAAACTATCACCAAATTTAATGTCCTAAAATATAACACTGAAGTATTTCTCGTGGACCCTAGACCGATAACAACATTGCACAATACTTCATCATTTTGGTAGATGGAGTAATCAATATTCCTCCATCAATCTGCATACAATAACTAATCTAATTGGGTTGACGGAATACTTTATAAATATTACGCCATAGACCCAAGTCACGTACCCAGCTCGAGGGCGATGTGGATGCTATTCCACCATCAGCCCCTCCAAATTCACTCTAATAAATACACTCACTCATACAAAACACATATTTTGACGGCTATATACAATAAAAAATTACCAATTTCCCTAAAAAGCGGAACAGAGGACCTTGAAACTGGCTACCGTGTTTGAAGCCATTTTTAAATCCGGCGGCATGCCTATACGCTCTCTATATAGAGCCAAGGCATGACACGTCAATACTTTTATTGTGGAAAAGAAATGAAAGAAACGAACATCTTGATCCAAACTTATCACGCAATAATATTGACGGCCCAATGTTTTCACCTGATCAAGACCTAGTGTTGCAAGATGTGGCTGAAGCTATCGCCTAACAATAAGCCGGTCAAGGTGGTGGGTCACTGATTTGGACCATACTTTCTTTGTTGAGACCTAATCCTTGGGTCGATACTCCAAAGTATCGGGCACGTAAAAAAATTTAAGTTGAAAGTTGACATTTTCCGTTTTTTAATATTTTTATTTCCCCATTCTACGAAGTCAAATCAACTATGTGAATATATCATTTTACAGCCTTTTCTTTATGTTAGATTGCAATAAAAATAAAGATATTGCAGTTAATAACCAAAAAGTTTCTAAAATCCAAATATTTTTCAAGTAAACTAGGTTATAATTTGTTTTCGTGAAGCTAATATGAAATTACGTTTTATCACATCTGGAGAACTATAAATATAAATTTTTGTTTGTACAAATTTAAATTGAACGATTTTTTGAGCCTAAAATTTTTCCGATTTTTAAGAAGTCGTTCTCCGAATATCTAATTCAAACGGTTATAATTAAAAAACGGCTAAAACGATTTTAACTTCAAACATACCATTTGAAAGTACAGGGACGTAGCTTTTGAATGACGTATGTAACATTAAACTATATAGAAGATCCTATAAGATAAAACACAGAATAGTAAAATTATTTTTCAGAAATTAACTTTTTTTACAGTTATAAAATTATCAACCATGAAAATAGCCCTCCTATCTTTTCAGAAAAATTATGTTAGAACTTGCATTAGGAATGTCAGTCAGGCAGAAAAGTCAGGTAAAAAATAATTTATTAAAAAATAACATTGTTTTGTTATGTAAACGATAGTCCTATTTTCATGTTTGACACAGTTGTAAATTGCATTTGACAATTTCTTTAAAACGAATTATTAACTATGAAAATAAATAGTCCACGTTAGAGAAAAATTGAAAGTTCGAAATTATTAGTCAAAAAATTAATTTACACCGATTTTTGTGAAAGTCGGTGTTTAAGGGGTTTATAACGCTAGTATCACGGCAACGAGGTCAAAACCAAATTTTGACCATTTTCTGACCGATGCGGCCCATAGACGATCAATATTATTGCACAATATTTTGGGTTGTGCAATTTAATTGATCGTGTGTAGACGATATTGAAAGTTTGTGCAATACATTGCATGATTGACGAAAAGTTGAAAATATATTGTACAACCTGGAAAATATTGCACCGTCTGTTGGCATTATTGCGCAATATCAGTCAGTTTGTGAAGTATCAACAAGTGCACAAAATATTGCACAAACTTCAATATCGTCTTCAAACTATTCAAGTTTATTGCACAAACAAAATTTTGTGCAATATTATTGAACGTTAAGGGGCAACCGTCTATGGGCTGCTTTAACCCGATTAAGTAGATTTATTAAGATTATTTATAATGAACACATTGTTATCGTATTGGAGTATTTGTGTAATAAAGCGGCCCATAGACGGTCAATATTATTGTACAATATAGATTGCACAATAATTTGACGGTTGCCCCTTAACGTTCAATAATATTGTACAAAATTTTGTTTGTGGAATGGACTTCAATAGTTTGAAAGCGATATTGAAGTTTGTGCAATATTTTGTTACTATTTGTTGTACTTCACAATCTGACTGATATTGCGCAATAATGCCAACAGACGGTGTGATATTTTCCAGGTTGTACAATATATTTTCAACTTTTCGTCAATCATGCAATGTATTGCACAAACATTCAATACCGACTACACACGATCAATTAAATTGCACAACCCAAAATATTGTGCAATAATCTTCATCGTCTATGGGCCGCTTAAAGCTTGGAAGACTAAAAATATTACGCAATATTAACCCTTCACGGTGCAATAAAAATTAAACTCGCTCAAACTTTTGTTGTTGAATCATTGAACAAATTTCAATACTTACCCCAAAACGACCAAAAATAATACCTAATTCGTAATAGTTTGCAATCGTTCAGGGCCCGCCTACAGTGCAAACACGGGAAATTAAACAAATTTAGAAATTATTGTATAAAACTGTGGTACTTCTTGAAATGAATTAAAAACGTTTAAAATTGTGGAGAAAACACTCTTGACCTGGGGAAGGTTAATCAGACCTATCGCAGCAACCAATTCTACATCTTACTAAATAAATAGTAATCTTAATTAGCTAATCTTAATCAGCTTTCCAGAGAGTTCGAATTAGTAGACTAATTAGCATAAACAAAGCAAACTGATTTAACTAAAATAGAGAATCTTCTCAGTTGGTGTCTTTCTTAAATTCATACTCTTTAATTCAGAAGTATAGAACAAATCAACCATTCCTAAATCAATATAAAAAAACAACAATTTGATTACTTGATTGACCTAATAAGAACGATTTTTTGTGTGTTGACAGGCCGAGCGAGGAATTGAAAACAGAAGAAGAGAATTTGCAGACGAAAGGGAGTCCGGGGAGCGAGGACAGTGACGAGACATCGCATGGAACGAGGAACGGGAGGAGGATAGAGATGCCGCCGGAATTTTTGTTCCCCGAGACGGAAGCACCACCGGCGGACTTGATAAGATCACCGGACCAGACGGACCGAGGCCTCCCGGCTGAAGATTCCGACCTGAGTGACACAACACCAAGTAATTTCTGCTGCATCTCTTTTACCTTTATTGTTTGCCAAGAAAAATTTGATTTATTGTTTTGTTGTTGTTTTATTAAGGGATCGAAGGGATCACGAGAAGAGCGAAGAAAGGTAATCTGAAAGGATGCAGTCAGGATAAACAGAGTCTTTCGAGGCGGGTTTCGTTCGACCCTCTGGCCCTGCTGCTGGACGCGTCCCTGGAAGGAGAATTGGAGTTGGTGACGAGGACTGCTGGCCAAGTGCGAGACCCTTCTGCGGCCAACGACGAAGGTATCACCGCTCTGCACAACGCCATCTGCGCCGGCCACTTCGACATCGTCACCTTCCTCGTCAAATTCGGATGCGACGTCAACGCCCAAGACAGCGACGGATGGTGAGCATACCGACTACAGCATGCTGCCTCAGCCATGCCGTCGAAATGTTTCTAATCCCTCTTTTCTTCGACCGTTTAGGACTCCACTACATTGTGCGGCGTCCTGTAACAACGTTTCCATGGTGAGGTTTTTAGTCGAACACGGAGCTTGTATTTTTGCGACGACGCTAAGCGACCACGAGACGGCCGCTGAAAAGTGTGAGGAAGACGAAGAAGGCTTCGACGGATGTTCTGAATATTTGTACAGTATGTATACAATAATTATTTTATTTTAACTTACACTGTTCAAGACTTCCTTGAAAAAAAAAAGAAAATATTACGGTCAAATTAATTCTAAGCATACAAATTATTTGACTTTTTACTGGGAATTACCATATTACTTGGTAGTAATCAAATTATTTGACTCGCCAAATGATTTATAAGGTGAACCAATACAAGTCCAAATAATTTGACTTTATATAGGCGATGGTCAGTTTATCATACCTGGTAAAATTATTTGAATTAATAACGATGAAGATGGTTAGTTAGCAAAGTTAACCAAATATATCGTTTATATTATATTTTTCTCTACATTGGCGATATTATAACAATGAAATATTTTAGTCAAATTATTTGATGCCAAATGTTTAATGCGGTCCAATTAATCATACCGATAAAAATTATTTCTGACTATATAGCAAATGCGCATGTTTCTGGTCAAACTATTTGACTTACCAAATGATTTATACTATCAGATATAATCATACCTTTAAAAATTATTTGACTCTGTATAATTTTATAAGAAACTTAAATGTTTCTGGTCAAATTATTTGACTTACCAAATTATTTATACCGTCAAAGTTAATCGTATCCTTGAAAATTATTTGATTTTATTCTAACGACATAACAAAATTAGATGATTATCTTCAAATTTACATGACAAATGATTAATGCGATGAAATTAATAATACCATCAAACCATATTTGACTATATTCTGGCAATTCAAAAAATGTAAATATTCAAATTATCTGACTTGTCAAATGAATTAATTTAAATTAATCGTAACCTTAAAAAAAATTAACCTTCTTTTCAGCGATATTAACATATTACTACGACGTGTTTCTAGTCAAATGATTGGGATTACCAAAAGTCAAATTTACTTACCCTTGAAATTATTTGACTCTATTCAAGCGTTATAACAAAATTACTTGATTCTAGTCAAATTATTTGCCTTGCCAAATGATTAATGCAGTGAAATTAATAATACCCTTAAAAATTATTGTACTATATTCTTGCAATACAACAAAAGTACATTTTTCTTGTAGAATTATTCGACTTAACAAATGATTTATACGATCACATTAATCGTAGCCTTGAAAATTATTTGACTCTATTCCACGGATAGAAATCACAGATTGTAGGCGAATTATTTTACTATATTCGGCAATACAAAAAATATCCTTGTTTCTTGTAGAATTATTTGACTTAACAAATGATTTATAAGACCAAATTAATCGTAGCCTTACAAATATTTGACGCTATTTTTAGTGGTATAAAGATATTAGAGGTTTTTAGTCAAATTATTTGATTTGCTAAATGATTGGTACGTCAGATTTACCGTACCCTTAAAATTATTTGACTCTATTCCTGCAATATAACAAAATTACTTTATTCTTGTCAAATTATTTGTCTTGCCATATGTTTAATGCGGTAAAATTATTAATACTCTCAAAAATTATCGCACTTTTTTCTATCAAAATAACAAAATTACATGATTCCATTCAAATTGACATGACAAATTATTAATGCAATTAATTAATCAAATTAATACCCTTAAACATTATTTGACTATATTCTAGCAAAACAACAAATGTACATGTTCCTAGTCAAATTATTTGACTTAAAATATTGCTGATAAGATTAATTCGTTACAACACGGCCAAATATGTCCATTTGATAATGGCGTTGAGAATAGTCAAATTATCTTTTTAAGACAATTTTCATTCGATTTCACAGTACAAACATTTATTTACTCAATATACATTATCCAATATGTGTCAAAGTTTATTACCAATAGAATATCTATAAAAGATAACTACCACGAGAACCCAAAAAAGAAGTTGTGCAATTAAACGATTAATTTCAAAGGTAATACATATAAAATACTGTTTGTTAATTTTATTCAGGCTTCTTGGCTAGTAGAACAGTCCTAGCGTATAGGCAAGAAAGGATATCATTAATAGGGTATTAAGACTCACATAAACAACTTTCAAGGTGAAAAACATGATAGCCTGAAATTCCAGGATATTACCAAAACTGAAATCTAACGTTTTGAAACGTCAAACGAAAGTACAGACCAAGAAGATAAACGATATTATTGTAATGTAAAAAATTGTCCGAATCGATTCAAATTGTTTAAAAAATCTATGAGACTTCAGGAAAAGCTAGAATATCAAATCAAAGTAAAGATAAGTAAAGTCATAGTAAAAAAATTTTGAACAACGGTTTAAGCGGACCGGAAGTGATCCAACACTGGATGCTGCATTCTCTTCATCAAAAACACATATATAACGTAACAATCAAAATGTTACAGGGGGCTTTGTGCGTCAGTGATTTGAACCAAACTTTTTTTTTTTAATTCTACAGTCTAAAATATCAGACACGAATCCACCACTTCTTCTGAATAGGCCTTGGTTTCGCGATAATAAATTGTTGTGAGTTGTAATTTTTGGTTTTTTAATGGTTTTATTTCGTCGCTCATCTTGCTCAAATCCACTATGAGAATATATGATTTTACAGCATGTTTTTTTAAATGTAGTTTTGCAATAAAAATGTAATAAAAGCTTTCACAGTCTGTCAATAATGAAAAAATTCTAAAACGATTTTGAAGAAGTTATCGGAATATCTGATTGAAACGGCTATAATTAAAAAACGGCCAAAACGATTTTAATGTCAAACATACCATTTGAAAGAAAAGCTTTTTAACAACGTTAGCAGTTAACATAACAACATAATAACAAAAGTACTTAAGCACAACAGTGATTATAAACGGAAGGTCATTGATTACCTAAAATTAATCAATGCGTATGGCTATATATAACCCACCACACGTGGTATATCCCCCCTATTTGTATGAATGTATTTATTTGCGTGAATGTCGAAGTATGCATGGGTGTGGCTGTGACGGAATATCAAGTACCCACAGTCCCACCAAATTAGTATAGATACGTTATATATTTGTAGTATGATGTGAGGGACGGGTCATTAGCATTTCGTTGGTACTATACTTCCGAAGTGTAGTGGCTTGTCCAGAATGAATGTATTTATTAGCGTGAGAGGTGATGCGTGAAAGGACGTGGATGTCGAGGAATATCGAGTACTCCACAGGCCCGTCAAACAATTTAGATAGGATAGGTTAGTGTGTGAGTGGAACTTGTAAATACCGTTTGAACGTATTTATTAGTGTCAAAGACAGGGGGCCGCAAGATCACGATGATCTTCCGACCTCCAATTTAGTTGTAGTATAGGTTAGTAAATTAGTATGAATATGAATAATGAAAATGTGTAAATATTATATCTATGTATTTTAATTTCTCACGTGTGGGAGGGTAACAACAAGTCTCAGAAAGAATATACACATAAGATAGATAAGAAGACAAATGCGAGAAGGTTTATATGTGGGGTGCCGTCGATGACCCTGGTAGTTAGCCGGCTTAAAAAAATAAAAATAAAAAAATAAAAAAGTTAGCTTTTTTTGTTAGCTTTTAAACTACGTATGCACCATAAAAACGTATTGAAGATTTCTATAAGAGAATACACAAAATAGGAAAATTATCATTTTCAGAAATTAGCCTTGTTTTTTTATGTAAATAATAGTCCGATTTTAATGTTTGATACAGGTGTAAATTGCACTTGACAATTTCTTTAAAACGAATTATCCACTACGAAAATAGATCCGCAAGCTTTGGAGAAAAGTTATGTTAGAGCTTGCATTAGGAAAGTCAGTCAGGCAGAATTATCAGTCAAAAAATTAATTTACACCGATTTCCGCGAAATTCGGTATCTAAGGGTTTTATAACGCTAGAATCATGACAGTGAGATCAAATCCAAGTTTTGACCATTTTTTGACCTACTTTACTTACAGAATGTTTGGTAAAATATGCAAAAAACAGTCTTTTGTTGGTTTTCTTTTTAAATTATACCAAATTAGAATATTCTTAATCGTAGAAAAGTTTTGGTTTTATTTTAACAAACAAAGAATTATGACAGCAAAAACAATATTTTTTTTAATCTATAAATAACGATTTATGCTCATTTAATTAAATTTACTTTATGCTTAGAATTTTTTATAAATTTTTTAATTTTAATCTTATGATTCTTCTTTCTTGAAGGTGGGATAATAGGTCATGACCTATATGACCTATTATCCCACCTTCAAAAAAGAAGAATCATAAGATTAACTGTTGAGGTCGAAATATAAGAAAACATCGTTTTTAATTTTATTTAATATGACCTTTCTTCTCTTTAGGGGTCGCTTACTTAAGTATAGTTCAAGGGGAAAAAAATATGACCTAGTTTACTTGAAATATATTTGGTTTTAGGAATTTGATAAATTGATAAACTGTAAAGCTTTAACTTTATTTTTATTGCAATCTACATAAAAATGCTGTAAAATGACATATTCACAAAGTTCATTTGAGTAGGTAGAAGGGTGAAATAGAAATATGTATTAAAAAAAGGAAAATTTCAACTTTTAAAAAGTTGATTTTGGCGAAGACAGATCCCAGCCACAAGAAGTGGCGGATCGGATATTTTGGAGTATAGAATCACCAAAAAACGTTTGGTCCAAATCTGTGACACACCCCTTGTTGGGCATAGTAAAAAGCAAATAATTTTTTAAGTGAAATTCAAAATACTATTCACGCCCAACAGTATTGGATGTTTTATGTCTAGTCAGGAGCATATATGAGAATTAATATTGCCGATTGTCGTTCCAGGTGTTCAAGAGAAACTCGGCATCATGAACAATGGCGCCGTCTTCGCCGTGTTCGACTACGAAGCTCACAACCCAGATGAGCTTAATTTCAAAGAAGGCGACGAGCTCATCGTACTGAGGAAGGGCGATGAATGGGAAAGAGAATGGTGGTGGGCGAGACTCAACGACAAAGAAGGCTACATACCGAAAAATTTGCTCGGGGTATGAAAATCAATACGTTTTTCGATTCGAACTTTATCCCAGACACGCATGCCTTTTTATCGTATAAAAACAAAGCAGATTGGTTCAATTGTAAATTTCTGTTCCAGCTTTATCCGAGGGTACATCCGAACAAAAACCACGAATGACACCGAATGGCCGTTTGATACCGGCTACAAGGGCGAGATGCCTTTTCCGGCACCTCCACCGCACACTTTGTAAACACAGGGTTGAATATTGGCCTACCCTATCACATAGATTTTATAAGTTTGACGTTGTTAATTGAGTTGACGAATTTGTGGTATGCAATATTTTCTCGTACATTTAAGTGCCTTTGGATTTCTAGCGTGCCTTTATAGTAGTTGATCCACACTGTTTTATCCTTTTGCCTTATCCCGCACGTAAATTGTTTACATATTTTGACGTTGAAATAAGCAAAAGTCTGATCATGTCAACTACTATAAACGGATGATTGCTTGAAAAAAAATTTAGGTTTATAAAAATCATAAACACACAATTAGTGAATGTTCCAACGTTGTTTTTTCAAACGATGCTTTTGCATTTCTTAGGCTTATCCAAAACAAAATTTTACAATGTAAGTCATATCATTAGAATTCCATATCATAAATCATATCCCTTTATTATTTTATAGTTCAAAATATCACAACTACCTTATATTGGTCGAATATTCACTAGAAGTAGTGTTATGTTCTTTTTTTTTCGTTTAATCCCAAAGTTATTTCATTTACCGATAACTTTAAAGGATTATGTTTTGTAATGATTTTTTTGGCACTTCAAAGTTGTAAAGTACATTTATTTCTGATTTCATTTTATTTCTTTTTCAATTCTGAATCCATTGTTATTTTATACATCCGAGAAGCTGAATGGCAGGTATCGTACCATTTAACAATATCAAAATTATTGTTGCTTTTCGAAATTTCTGTATATTTTTATTTACTTTTTATGTTATTGTACAAAATAAAATGAAACCTCAGGAGCTCTGTAAATAACAAGAAATGAATATTTATAAATAGCAGCTGTACATAGATTGTGAATGATGAATAAAAGAAAGAAAAACTTTTAAGTAATGGAAATTAACCAAAAATGCTGTGCATTGTTACACTTTGTTTGTACCAGTTATATTGTTATGTTTATGTAGATATTAGAATTATTTTTTTTAACAGACCAAATTTCTATATGAAAAAAAAATGAACTGTAATATGACACTCTTTGAAGATGAAAAATGAAAAAGAAAAAAAGGTTTGCCCAATTTAGCAGGCATTCCGTATTTTAGTTTGTATATTGAAATTATGTGCCTTCACCTGAACAATTATAAATATTATATATAAAGTACATATTTCATATTGTTATGCTCGACTTATACATTTTATAAAGGAAATGAAATGTTTTAATACATAATCAAATATGTACATGAGGCTTTTAATTATGTAATAATTTTAATTATGTAATAAATATATTAATATTTGATTTTTTTACGTTCTACTTTACATTCAAAATCTTTCCCATGTTATCCATATTTAAGTTAATTTGAATTTACTTGAATTAAATAAACTGTAGAATTAAAGTTCATAAATTTGATATAGATTGTCTTTTTATTTTGAAATTTATCAAATGTAATTTCATCTGATTGAATTTAATCTAGTTCAAAACATTTATTTGTTATATATCTTTTTAAAAAAAACGCTATGATAGTTTTTTTTAAACTGAATTGGTCGAAATTACAAAAATCTCCCCATGTTTTTACTTATCCAATATTAATTATTTCCAAAATAACATAAATGAATAACAATGTGGATGTAACCCTCTATTAATTAATTTTCAGCAATTTTCCCAATATTCGTAGAAACTGTACTATTTATCTAATATCTATATTTATCTATACTATCTACGTTTAAATATTCGTAGGAACGTTAATAATACATAACTAAAAACTATCATCACCTCTATGTTTGTATGGGGTGGTGGGTTTATGTTAATACTGAAATGAATGTCATTTATTAGCGTGAAAGGAAGTAGTTGTTTACCACCGCCTCGAGGAATATCGAGCATTCTGGGGAGAGTGTGACTTCTGGAGAGAAAAAGTATCTGAAAGGGAAAAGACCATACTGACAACACTACGAATAGGCTATACAAGAATAACGCACGGGCAACTTTCGGCCGTAATGCGACCGCGTAGGTTCGCAATATGCAATGTCGAGCACCAATTAAAGAAAACTTGATGTAGACAATATTTTGGCATATCATTGGACCTGTGCGCAGTGTTGGGGCGCACCAGGAGGTCCAGATCCCGTGCTATAGGGTATGTAGTATTCACTGAGACTGGTTGGCATTGTCGGCACAGAAAACAGTCTGACCAACCCAAGTCTTGCAGGATTGCATCTAGTTTTGTTGGGAAATAGTGATCAAAAAAACCTCAAACATCAAAAAATCTTCACATATTTCATCAATCAAAGTACTGTTTGCAAGAAGAGTAGTTAGAGCAGCGGCTTGTTTAGTCGATGGACGTGAGTTCGAATCCCGCTCGTGCACTAATTTTTCATCTGAACCAAAACCTAAGATGAAAAGAATAATTATTTGAAATAATTACTTCTTTCACTCAGGTATTTATAGAATTTTATCAGTTAGTAATAAGCATACTATTAATATGGTCAACACATGCATATTTACAATTAAGAAATAGTTTCTCCGACTATACAGTTGTAAATAATGATTTTTATCTCTCTTTTTTAAAGGTACTTTTGTAAATATGTTAAAAAATTATTTAACATAGGAAAACACTCCACCTTCTTCTTTCTCAACAGATTCCCTCAAACCTGAATTTTTTCTGTTGAAGGTGCGAACTTTGCCATTAGCATCAAAAGTTGTGATACTCTACCCTTGCAAAAAAGGACATTCATTTTCATGAATTTTTTAATAAATATAACAGTATGCATTGCCGTTTCTCATCATTGAAAATGTTGTTCCAATTTGACTTTAGAACGTAATTCCTGTGGTCGATAGACAGCCACCAGACTTCGTATGGAGAAGCACGGAATTATGAACGCTTCTCATATCATCTCGTACATTGTGTAAAGTCTCGACTTCAGTGGCAGCGACTGGAAATAATTAATAATTTGAACCGACTCATCCAATACGTACTTAAAAGAGCCTCGCATTGGATTCGTAGATAAAGTCTCAGGAGAACACAATGACTACTGCTGCAAAATTAAAAACTTCCGTTTTCAATACCTCATTGTTATTAGTTTTTAATTTGTTTTTCATTCTAAGTTTATTTTTGTAATTATTAATTTTAAACAGAGGGCCCAAAACCCGACCTTGAGGGACGCCAGGGACGAGAGGCAATGGAAGATATAAGCAAATCATCAATTATCCTTCCATAAAAATCAAGCACATACCATCAGCATAACTAAAAACTTTACCGGATATTTTCAATTTTAAAAGTTCATTATTATATAAAAGGAAAACAGAGGGCCCAAAACCCTACCTTGAGGTATGCCAGAGACGATAGGCTATTGCTATATACTGTTCCAACTTTCGTCTGAGCTCTACCCACTAAATAAGACTTAGTAAGTTTAAGTCGAACCTCAACAATTCCTATTAAATCTATTATATTTCAAGGTCCGATTGGCCAAATAACTTCTTTCTTAATCTTTTATGTAAGTTATTAGTTGAAATGCCTATTAATTTTAGTTTTTTTGAAATAACAATCGATGATCGACGGAGTCAAAAACCTTTTATAAATCAAGAAAGACCCCAAAAACATGATAACCTATATCCAATTATTTTGAAATATAGTTAACAATATCAAACAGTGTCTGTTCAGTTGACTTACCAGGCTTGAAATAATATTGGTTAGGAAAAATTATATTATGGACATTAAGAAACTCAAATAATCTATTTGTCATCAATTTTTACAAAATTTTAGCGAAAGTTGAGTCAAAGAAATAGGTCTGCAATTATCATCAGTTTTTGAACCTGATTTAAATAAAGGGATAATGATTTTTTAAAAATGGAGGAGAATTGACCTAGTGAAAAGGCTATGTACTAGGGGAAGGATGGAAAATTTAGAGTTTTTTTAACACAAAAAGTACAAAAAATGATACTGTAATATTGGAACAAATTGATCTCTTATGAAATTTGGAGGTGAAATATTAGAGTGAAAGGTAGGAACGTGATCACAGTTTAAAAAATTTTTTCCATAGTTGGAGCTTATTTAGAAGCGAGCCACCTTGAGAAGACCTGTTCTCGTGCGATAACTCGCTTTGGGCCAAGCCTTTCAAGTCCATCGTTTTTTTGCACATTCCTCTGAAAATACCAATTGAAAGGAGGGCATAATTGTAACGTTGTGTAAGAGCCATGCGAACGATGCTGACCGTGATTTTCAGCACCGGGATGGGCCTCGATTACCTACATCGACCTAGGTGCCACTTAGAACTATTCGACTTTTCGTAAAAACATTATACAAGGTGTTGAAAATGGATATGAGCAATATACTTTAATAAGATTTTGCATAATGTTTAAACTTTCTGTGACGTTTACGGGTCCGACGATCTTCGACGTCCGATGCCCCTTTTATCCACAAATGATTGCTCATTTTTACTCACATCAGCTCTCTCCCTTAGAAAACGTCCAATGTTATTCAATTTGTTAGTTACTTTCGATAAAAAAATTTCTATAAAATTAGTTACTTCGTTTCCTTCAGTACAGGATCATGACTTCGAAAATCAATAACTGATTTACAGCTACCTGACACTTTCTAATATTAGATCAAGGCCTATTAAATTATTACAGAGTAGAGGCCTAATAGTACGTTTCAGTCTATTTTTATTACGATGACTAGTAAGTCAAAATATTAATTATAGAATGATTTGTATTAATTTTAAAATTGCTAAAAATTAATTCGAAAGAACCTAGAAGGTGTATAAAACCAAATAAATGAAAGAAAAATGAAAATAATGAAGAGAGAAAACATAAGTAAAATAAAATGCAATAAATTCAAATAAAGTTAAAATAAAAATTAACGAATACAATAATTGCCAAATATACCACAAAGAAAGTTCAAATTTAAAATTTTTACACAAATAAATTTTTGGAACTTATATTGAGAATTAAATTTGTTAAAATCTATTTTATGATTGTAAGGAAATCTAAAAACAGCATTTAATGAAAAATAAAAATAAAAGTTACTGTTTACTTTGGATATAAAAATATTAGCCACTATTTTTTGTCTTGTTTGACACTGATTGTTTGATTCAGCGAAAAAGGTTATTTTTAAAGACAAACAAACAAGAAAATTTCAAAAACAAATGTTTAAGTTTTAGATCCTGAAAAATATCATATAGTTGAAAAACTTTAGATTTAGTAAATATAACTTTAATCAATAAATTAATCTTTTTATGTAAGGTGAAATCACGAGCGGGATTCGAACCAGGAAAAGTCGATTGCGATTGTGATAGTGATTATTGTGATAAACGCTGTGGGCTGTACGAGAAATGTGCTTGCGTCGGATAGATGTGCACACCCCACCAAAACGTGGCAAGGCGTCGGGTAGCATCGGGTAAGTGTGTTCCTGGCTTAAGTCATGGGTACGAATCCCGCTCGTGACACCAACTTTTTCATTTCAACCAAAAACCTTACCTTACGCGGCGAGTCATTCGTTATTGTCCATCAAAATTTAGTTTTAATTTAAATGAATAAAAATTTAATTATTATTCATCTGCAAAACAGTCCATTTTTTCTTCTATGTTTCTTTGTAATTATTACATTATTCAAGCAAAACGAAATTTCGGTTTTTTGGTAAGTATTTTAATGTTTTTCGGGATTTACCTCTACCAGGTAAATAAATAAAATTTCTAAGAAATAACGATGAGATAATAAATAACAATAATAATTTTATTTGCAAATAGTATAGTAATACAGTGAGATAAAATATAAAAAGAGAAAAAAAAATTTAGGATAAAATATTAAAACAATAACTAAAATGTCATTTCGCTAATCTTCACATTTTCGCCTGCCTCCTAGAAGCAGTGCTTGTAACAGGTGGCAGGAGTTGGCAGTGAACAAAACTGCTAAAACGTATTTCAAAAGAACTTAGAAGGTGTATAATACCAAATAAATAAAAGAAAAATGAAAATAATGAAGAGAGAAAACATAAGTAAAATAAAATGCAATAAATTCAAATAAAGATAAAATAAAAATTGAAGAATATAATAAGTGCCAAATATACAACAAAGAAAGTTCAAATTTCAAATTTTTACACTAATAGATTTTTGGAACTTATATTGAGAATTAAGTTTGTTAAATCTATTTTATGATTGTAAGGAAACCTAAAAACAACATTTAATGAAAAATAAAAATTACTGTTTACTTTGGATATAAAAATATTAGCCACTATTTTTTGTCTTGTTTGACACTGATTGTTTGATTCAGCGAAAAAGGTTATTTTTAAAGACAAACAAANTTATTTATTTTAATATAATTATATAATTATCTATTATATATAATTATAATATGTACCGGATCGAAATGAAATAATCAAAAGTTAAACTTTATAACCACTTCATGTCTGAGCTCTTAATCCTTTCTATTATCAATAATAATATTCGTTATTTTATAATGAATATTTATTTATATGACATCAAGGGGAAAAATATTCAAAATTTAAAACGGTTTGAACATTTCTATGCCTTATAAATCGCCAAATGGAAACAAATCTTTCATTATTATGTTTATTGTGAGTGAGTAATTACCTTGGGGTCTGCAAGGTGTTTGCCACGCTAGCCAACCTGGGTTCGAAGCCCGGCATCGCCCATGGATTTTTCATAGTTAATAATGTAGAGACAGGTTTATAAAGTGGGGTGTTGGTTGGGTAAAGACCCGTCTGCTTACCCGACCAAGCAACCAGCTTTATTAATAATTATTCATTTTTCAGAGTATTATTTTATTAAAGTTAGTCTTTCTCAGTTGACATTTTTCCGGAGGACAACAGATCAGCGAAATTTCACTTATCCATTTACGACCATTGTACAAAAACGAATTCAAAATCAGAGTTAATTTGTGTTGAGTTTCACATTGTAGGGGTTTCTTAAGTTATAATTTAAATGTTTATAGTTTTTCAGAAGCCCTTCTTTTTAAAAGCGTTTTTGTTGAGGTGTCTAGGAAATTTCACAACTCGCATAAACTGAACGTTATCATTGGCCTGTGCACAGAAAAATTCAAAATTTTCCATCATCAACTCCGTATAATTTTGTTTTCGTTCTGGCAAAGCTCGCCGGCCATCTCGTGCGGAACTTCTTTTCTACATGTCCGTTTCGCTTTTCTGAGCTCTTGTGAACGACCCAATTCCTTTGATAGTTGACATGTGTGAATTAAACGTATTTGTTTGAACTATTAGAGCGAGTGTTATTCCGATGAAACTCGGCCGTTTTCATCGTCCGAACGGCCTAATCAACTCTCGGATGTATGGGTTAAGCGCGTGGCTTCCGCGGTTTCCAACTTCCCTTTCCAATAATGTCCCTAATTTCCCATTTCGTCGTCATTAAATAAACGAACGCATAATCATCCGATTAGATTAACTTGAATCCACAAGCAATAACTGACAGAATGAAATAACTTGACTGTTGTTTTTGTATCTGGACTTACACTTTCGTACGTAAGTTCAAAAAGTAAAAACTTATGCAATATTCATGCTCGGCAAAATTACCGACTTCCCAAACTTAGCCGTCATTGTGAAAATAAAAGTGGATTTTCCACACAGTAATGAATTCAGAGGCTAATTCTCTATAATAATTATGAGAAGGTCTTTGTCTTTTTTGAACCAAGGCCGAATTCTTTTCTATTTCTCAATTGCCAGTTTCTTACACGGTTGAACCTTTTACCACTATCTAAATAAACACGAAACGGCTTTTCGTCTACATACTAAAACACAGATTTTCGCCACTTCCTTTTCAAAGCACCGCTAAAACATATAAATTATTTGCGGAAAAGTTTAGTTTTTTTTTTTTTTTGTCGAAAGTGCACCAAAAAAAAAAGCTTAAGACCGAAAATAGTCCGGCTACAAACAGATCGGGAGTTCCCCCGACTCATGGATGAACGAACGGACTTTGTAAACATTGAATATTTCTAGAAAAGAATGTCTATCCATCAATGTTCTAAATATAAGGTTTTTTTAAGATTTAACCAACTGGATATTGCAATCTTTATACGGGGCGAGTCATTCGTTATTGTCCATCAAAATTTAATTATTATTCATCTACCAAACAGTCCATTTTTCTTCTATGCTTCTTTATCTTATTACGTTATTCAAACAAAACGAAATTTCAGTTTTTTGGTAAGTATTTTAATGTTTTTCGGGATTTACCTTTACCATACCTTTACCAGGTAAATAAATAAAATTTGTAAGGAATAACGATCTTAAAGCAAAAGGAGAAAATGAGAAATAATAATAATTTTATTTGCAAAGAGTACAGTAATACAATGAGATAAAACATAAAAAGAGAAAAAAATTAGGATAAAATATTAAAACTAAAACGTAAGTCATTTTCGCCTGTCTCCTAAAAGCAGTGCTTGTGATAGGTGGCAGGAGCTGTCAGTGAACAAAATTGCTAAAAATTAATTCAAAAGAACTTAGAAGGTATAATACCAAATAAATTAAAGAAAAAATGAAAATAATGAAGAGAGAAAACAAAAACAAAATAAAATGCAATAAATTCAAATAAAGATAAAATAGAAATTAAAGAATGCAATAATTGCCAAATATACCACAAAGAAAGTTCAAATTAAAAATTTTTACACTAATAAATTTTTGGAACTTATATTGAGAATTAAATTTGTTAAAATCAATTTTGTGATTGTAAGGAAACCTAAAAATTCAATGAAAAATAAAAGTAAAAATTAGTGTTTACTTTGGATATAAAAACATTAGCCACTATTTTTTTTCTTGTTTTACACTGATTGTTTGATTCAGCGAAAAAGGTTATTTTTAAAGACGAACAAACAAGAACATTTTTAAAAAAGTGTTTAAAATTTAGAACCTGAAAAATATCATATAGTTGATAAAATTTAGATTTAAAAAATATAACTTTAATCAATAAATTAATCTTTTTATGTAAGGTGAAATCACGAGCGGGATTCGTACCCACGACTTTTCCTGGGTTCGAATCCCGCTCGTTACACCAACTTTTTCATTTCAACCAAAAACCTTACATAAAAAGATTAATTAATTGAAAGAAGTAATTTGGTCNATAATAATATAACTTAATTTAATTTAATATAACTTTAGATTTAATGGATCAAATTTTCACAATAACTAGATACAAAAATTAATAGTTGATTTTAACAAAATAAATAAAGTACACATTTTGATTGGATGGTGAATTATTTTTCATATCATTGTTTTCTGTTGAACCAATAAAACGTAAAGATTCATAAATGTCTAATGGAGTGTTATTTTTCTACGTTTTACATTTTATGTTTAATGTTAAAAGGTTTTCCGTGTTTATTCTCAATCAATGTATAGATAAAGTTTTAATCTTTTAAAAATATTTTGTTAGATTAATTTAATAAGAGTTGAACTATTTCGTTCATAAACTTTTAACTTTTTTAAAATTTAATTAATGTTGTGTATATGAAATCTAATAATCGATATTTCAAAATATATTCAATGCGCTTTTCGTGTGAAATAGTGTATAACTCTCAAAACCCAGGTTTGGCGCAAGAGGAGGGTGAGTTGAGAACTTCCCAAGATATTTGGCCACATAGCAACCTCTAGATTCTTAAATAACAAAAAATCATAAACGTACTATATAAATAAAAAGATTTATTGAATAATATAAATTGGTATTGTCGGTAATATTAGGGACGGATTTTTAAAGATGGGTGGAAGTGTCGAACCAGTTCGATCGAATTTGAATTGGAAACGAAGATCTGATGATACGACGATGTTACGGTCGGGGCGAAGCTGTTATTAAAGGAATATCTGAAGAATCGGCTGGTCGTTAGCGGTGGAACGTCTAGAGGGGGAGAACGGAGCGAAGAGGCCGGGCACCGGTCCGGACTTCAGTCTTGTACCGCGAGGAGTGGCGTTCACTCGTGTCAGTGGTCGACGGATTTCATGTTATGGACGAACAAACGGCTTTAGTGTTGGGAGTTCAGCTGACGGCGTTATGCTGCATCGCCGGCTCTCTGCTCCTCTACCTGCTCTGCAAGGTGAAGAAAGGCCCGTGGACGGACCTGGCCGAACCGGAAGTCGGCACCGGTAGGTCGGTCCTCGTCACCTCGGTCGAGAACCACCTCGGGATGCAACTCGCGCTCAGGTTGGCCGCCCTCGGTTTCCGGGTGTTCGGCGGCCTCCGGGACGGCGATCTGGAGTCCGATCCGGCCAAAGTCATAAAAGCGAAGATGAAGCAGATCGAAACGGCCCCGGCCTCCGGTCTCATCGGGGCCATCATCCTCATCCCGTTGGACGTCACCCGGGAGGACAGCTTGCACGAAGGCGTCGAACACATCAGGAGACATCTGCCCGCTGGAGAAAACGGTACGTCCCCTCACAAATTCTGCCCACCCGAAAATCCAATTGCATTTTAAAAACAAATTTCTCGGAAACTTGAAAATTATTCGAATTTTGCCTCAAATTTATCGGTCGACGTTTTGTTTATTTCACAACAAATATAGTGTTGTAATGTATCGACCAACTTCAAGTTGGGACTAAGTTAGGGATCAGGGTAGTAGTCAAAATGAAGCACAGTTTTGAATTATGGACAACTTTTCGGCTTATATTTAACCCTCACTAACACTAACATACAAATATTTTCATCAGTTATTTAAACGCATACTTCACTCTTATATAAATATACTTACAAACTCTGTGTCCAAAGAGTAAACATATAGCCAAGGGTCTTGTCTTTTTTTAAATAAAATATTTCTTAGTTCCAATTTGTTCAGCAGAATGAGAGTCAATTTGCTTGACCATGTATAACCTCCAATTGTAATAGGCGTGTGGTCGCAAAAAATTTTTTTTACCTACTCTTAGGTTTATCAGTAAACATTTCAACATTAGTTATCACATACTGACTAGAATGGATGTTTCTGATAAAAAAATTGTAATTTTTTTTTGTTAGTGCTCTGAGTAAAGCTAAATATCAGCCGAAAGCTTAGCAGAATTCAACACTGCTTTATTTATACCACTACCTGGATTCTTCACCTTCTTTAACAGCAAAGAGATCCAGCCATTTCTTAAGTATATTGTGGACGTCAATCCCTTCCGATTTCGGAACGACATGCAACCGTCAATTTTAATCTAAGGTATATCGGAAAAATCAAATAGCTGAGACCTCCCTCGATGCGATGCTGACAGATAACGGTTGACAAGATAACGCCATTGGGAAAGATCTGAAAGGAACATGGAATGCTTCAAGGACTGTTTCGAATGTGAATGGACGTTCGACCCTTTTTTTCTTCAGTAAATAAATCTTCGATGACTCCCTCGAAATGACTCCTCTTCGTACCGATAAATAGATAACAAACCACCCTCTTATACGAAACGGAAACTTTAACTTTTAGTTGCAAATTGTATATTTATTTTTCTTACGTCTCCAAAGAGTAAGCATCTCTCAAAAATAACTTTTTTTTAATAATTTGGTAATAATTATCCAATTTAATAGTTTATAATCTTTGTAAACCGTATCTCAATAATTGACCCTGATGAATGTGATATGTACGACTTGATGATTGACAAATTTGTACCATTAGTACAATTTTTAATTATCTTAAAAAGCACATGTGATCTCTGTGACTGAAGAAGGAGAAATCACTGGCCACATTGATGGTCAAAATGAAGACGGTTCATCAATCACGTCCGTCCAATTAAATCCCATTGTAATACACGAACACTCTGGATCAAGAGGTACGATCTTAAAGAAAAAAGAAAAATCAGATGTTCTACCAATTTTTCGGCCTATTTTAAGGTCATGATCAGGGCAAAACAATCTTAAATATGCCTACAGATTGACATATTTAAATTTTTTACAAGCGATCTCAAAGCTTCTTGATGAGTGATTGTCCTAACATTGCCAACGACTGTAACAGTCACCCAAATACATTTTTGTATTGGGGGGGAGGTTTTTAAAATTTTAAAAAACTCCTTCCCTTCACTGAAACTTAAAAGATCTATTGAGGCACCCCTTCAAATTATAATCGTAGATTGTAAAAAGAACTTTTTACACCTATAAGCCTAAGTACATTCCTCGGTGCCTTTTCACTGTGTGAGAATTGACTTGGCTCGGTGGCTGTATCCGGACTAATGCTTCACATTCAAAAAGGATATGTGGGATGTCTCTGGTTCCTCCGGACAGAGTCGGCATTTATCTCCCTTTGCTTTGCCCATGTTATTTAGGTGGTAGTTAAGAGGTCAGTAGCAGGTGTAGAGGCCTATAATTTTCCTCAACTCCAGCCTTAAATCTGGAACTTTGAGCCAGTGGCTGAGTTTCAATTGAGATGTTACTGTCAAGCTTTCGACCCATTTGAAGGTCATCATGGCCTATGTTAATTTCACATTGTGAAAACATATTTGTTCAATTGATTTAACAATTAATAGGCTATATAGAACTTACAAATTGTCTACATATAGACATATTTATATTTTTGACGTGCGATCTCAAATTTCCTTGAAGACCTAATATTGCCAAGGACTGTAACAGTATTGCAGCCTTGAACGCTTGCTTGGCAGTAAAAACTGAATGTGCTTTTTTCTTCAAGACCATGATCCAGAGTGTTCGTAAGGGAAAAAGTCGGTACTCCTAACACTGAAAATTGTCGTTAAGAACTTTATTGCTTGTTGACCCCAGTTCAATAAGCTCGAAATTACATTTTGGACGATTATGTATGATAAAAATATGTAAAATTATGTCGCTTAGGTTGAGAATCAAAGAAATTATAGAAAAGGCGAACTGAAATTAAGTGTTTGGCTTGATCTTGAAAAATATGTATTAGGTTTTTCATTATTAACTATCTTAGTTTTTTACTTTTTTACCCCCTGGTCAGACTAAAGAGAGGGGTGGCAGAGTTGGCTTGAATTTATTGGTTCTTATATAATAATTATTCAAATTTAATACTTTTAATTTTTCACATAAAACGATTAAAATTTAACTAATTTCATCAATAATGACTCACCTAATTCTATAGACTCGGAATGGTAAAAGATAAATTTCATTTTCGTTCCATTATATTTCGTGGTCTGATTGACGAAATAACTTCTTTCAAATAATTAATATTTTTGTGTAAGGTATTGGTTGAAATGAAAAAAGTTATTGTCAAGTGCGGGATTCGAACCCAGGACGCCTCAATACGCCACTGTTCTAACCACTACCTACCGCGACTTCAATCCACTCGGACACCAACTCCTCATCTCAACCTAACCTACGAATTTTCCCTCCTTTTTGCCATTTTTCTGGCAGTGGTCATAGTAAAGTTTGTATGAAGTCTTTTGTTATTTTGATACAAAAAAGTCAGTGTCACGAGTGGTATTCGAACCCATGGCCTTCGGCTAATACGCCGCTGCTCTACCTCTTAAGCTATCGTTACCGATCTGATCGTGAACCATCGCAACCGCACCTTTTGAATTTTCCCTCCTTTTTGCTATTTTTCAAATGTCGTGTAATCACGATTCGATTTTCGAGGAGTTGGTGTCCGAGCGGATTGAAGTCGAGATAGCTCAAGTGGTTCGAGCAGAGGCGTATCTAGCGGAAGGTCGTGGGTTCGAATCCCGCTCGTGGCACTACTTTTTCATTTCAACCAATAACTTACATAAATAGATTAATTTATTTTCATTTATAGATCTGCACACACACACACACACACACACACACACACACACACACACAAGACAACTAAAGGTTTTTAAACATATAATGATATAGTAAATGCAACGCAACTTTTTCATTACAAAATCCTGTATAATGAATTTAAATGGATTAATTCCTTTATGTGAAAGAACTCAATTCTCTTTGGCTGTAATTTTATTCATGATATTTTGGTCTGAAATTATATCAAAACAAGACCGGACATACCAATGTGGAAATATTTCTGTTCGGGCAGAAACTAGATATAATCTCACATTCACTTCTAATCACTTTCTCGTAATAAAAACACGAGACTTTCTTGTAACTTTTTGTCCGGAGTTCCAATAATGGAAGCTTTCACGTGTAACGCCTGGCCGATTTACGTGGGGTCAGCCACACCGTGCCCTCGACTCTAGCCACCCTGTCTCTAAGTTTTTAATTTGAATGAACTTTAACACCAAATTGTCGTTGCTTTCGGGGCGGAGGTACCTCTGAAACGGGCAAAAAATCGTTATGGAAATGTGCTGAACAGTGGAAGATCGAGCGTTCATTGGCGATCTTTTGTTTGTTCTCGTTTTGATAAAACAAACGTAAAAATATATACTTTCATATCACTGATAATTGAAAATTTTAGAACCACTTAATTGTGAGTTTTAAATTTATCAAATTCGCAACATTTCGATAACAATCAGTAATTATTACAGAAAAATAGTGACTATCTTGTTTACTGATTTCATAATCGATTGTTGGCCTGATTGCGGTTATGGTGTTTGGTGAAGGAGATTTCCTCCGATAACTCGTTTTACCTGTAATAAGGAATTATTTTAAAATATAGGCAAAGAGACCACCATTCAATTGGGAATTCTTTTTATGTTGCCATCTCCTTTCGAAAGTTGGCGATTACAATTTGATCTTTTGAAACGGCCGCTCGAAACATTTCCACTTATGAACACCTGAAACAGCGACTTAGATCTTTAAGCCACGAATTTTGACTCCTTCCTATCTTTTTCCTACTTTTCCTTCCATTGCTTAATAGTTCATAAAGTTCGCCAGGCATGATGTGTCCCAGATACTTCAGTTTTCTCCCCTTCAGAGTTTTCATTGGTACTTTTATTCCTTTTGTTCAGCACTTCTTTATTTAAAGATGAGATGGATCGAGCTGTTGTTAAACTACGTGGAAAAAGGATCTTCGGTGAGGTCACAACAGAACGACAATTCTTTCGGTTTTTGCCGAGCTTTCGACAATCATTAAGGCCTGTTTATTATAGGAAAACATAGCACATAGAACGTTGTACAATTTAGAAACAAAATAAAAACAATTATATTATCTTATTCTGAGGGATAACATTTCTTGCGAAAAACTGCATTTATAAGAAATTATTTAAATTTTGAAGCTCAGCATCTACATAGTAAAAAGATAAAATATAGAAATGTGGTGTGACGTTAGTCGATGATTATTCAGAAATCGTGAGATGCGGTCTAGTGTGATGTAGGTTTCAGAAAAACATTTTCATTATCGTACCGACGTTCGATCTTTGAGATCATCTTCAGGGCCTGGGATTTACAAACATTGTTTAAATTAAATTAATGTTTAAATTAAAAAAAAAATTGCATTGTATAAATTCATTTTTTTCCACATCCTACATGTATTTGTTAAATTTAAACAACGTTTGTAAATCCCAGGCCCTGAAGATGATCT